TGGACAGCAGGAGGAATTTCTCCATGGAAAGCACTGGAAGGGGCTGCCCAGGGAGGTTTGGAGTCCCCACCCCTGGAGGTGCCCAGGGAAGGGCTGGATGTGCACTCAGTGACAGGGGGGGCATCGGGCACAGGGGGGACTCAGTCTGGGAGATCTTCCAACCTCAGTGATTCCATGACCCCCAGAGCCAGGACAGTGTCCCCTGGGCTCTGGTGACACAGGAGGAGCCAGGCCAGTGGAGGTGTGGGAGGACAGAGAGTTTGGGGGCAGGGCCACAGCTCTGATCCCTGAGCTGGACTCACCCCGGAGCTTTTCCTGCTGCTCCTCCTGCTCTGGAACCACCCGGGGAGGGCTCGTTGGGGCTCCAGGGATCCCATTTCCCTGGATTCTGGATTTTCCCTTGGGCTTCCCTTCCCTCCCACATCTCCCTGACTTCCCTGTCCCTCCCTGACTTCCCTCTCCCTCCCACACCTCCCTGACTTCCCTCTCCCTCCCACACCTCCCTGACTCCCCTCTCCCTCCCTGACTTCCCCCTCCCTCCCTGACTTCCCCGTCCCTCCCACCCCTCCCTGACTGCCCTCTCTGCTCCCCTGCAGGAAGAACTCTGACGAGGCCGACCTGGTGCCCGCCAAGGAGGCCAACATCAACTGCCCTCAGGTGGTGATCTCCTTCTACGAGGAGCGGTTGACATGGCACTCCTACCCCTCCGAGGACGACGACAAGAAGGAGGACAAGAACTAAAGGCCTCTCTCCCCGCTCTTTGGGCAGCCTTTGGTGGAGAGCTGCGGCCTGGGGGTGTGAGCAGGAGGGGATTGGAGGCGGCCCTGCTCGGGTGGGACGTGGAGACGGCCGGAGAAGGTGCCCTTTGAAGAGACCAGTATGGTTTCTGTGCCCCTGCAGCTGCCCCAGCGCTTCGTGCAGCTTCCCTGCTGTGTCCAGAGTCCAACCAGCCCGGCTCAATTCGGAGGGGGAGGGAAAAACAAGGGGGATATCAGAGGGTCGGGAGGAGGGGAGGGGGATTTTTGGGGAGGGAGGGGGTGTGCCTGGGAGGGGTTGTTGTTTCCCAGCAGCTCGTGGGGAGTGGAAGCAAAGCCCCTTCCATGAAGGACTCGCTGGGATGGGTGGGCTGGGGATGCAGGGGGTGCAGGTGGATACTGCTTCATCTTCAAAGACCATCTCAGCAACCCACGGCCTTCTTCCCACTAGTGTTAACTCTGCATTTTTAAGGCGTAGCATGTGTGTAGGTCTCTCTCTCT